GGCGCTAGATAGTGAAAATAATGGCGCTAGATGGCTGGCCCATTCATGCCTTCATTTTAATGATATGTTCGAGCCAACGAACGACCAGTTGGCCGGGCCTGCAAGCTAGCATGGCGCTAAGATTGTGTGAGGTTCTTTAGGAGCTCGTAACCTGGACATCATTTGCCGACACCCAGAGTGAAAAGTTGCTGCTTATCTCGTAAAATATTAGGGCGCAGTAAACCTGCGAGTGCTGCGGAGAAATGAGCTTTTTGTGTCAAATCAAACTACCGCGATGTATGAGGCGTTGTTTTAACTCAACTGAAACCGCATATACAGTTGATATAATATGTAGATAAAATGTTGTCCCTTGCAATGATTAAATTCAAACACGTCACTAAGTCTTCAACTGTGTCAGGAAAGGTTAATATAACGGGGAAAAGATCCAAATATTTTTATTTATTCTGTTATTTTCATGAGCAAAATTAATTTAACTAACAAAAAATAGGCACTGTCAATTACGAGGCCTTGAAAAAATTAGTTGTAACCTGCACGAAACATTGACATAGTAGAAGGATTATAATTCATTAAGATTTTAAGTTAGGCTTGTTATTAAAAAAGACTTCCAAAAATATTTACAATTATGAAATTGTCTGTTTAATGGTGAAACTTTAATAGAGTTAAACCACTTGTCGTAGCTTCGGTAGGGACTCTGAATCTCATTCACGAAATGTTTAAGGAAACGCACTCAAAATTTCGAGATAACAACCTCCCATGAAATTTGTCTTCAAAATTAGAATTACTTGGTATAATTTGAATTTATGGCATCAAAAATATATGGTTAGGTTAAAGAATGAAGCCTTCCAGTTGCTCAATTAGTTTGGCATTAGTTGTTTATGTATTTTGTCTGGCAAAAATAATTGTTAGAAATTGCAAAAGTAATGCATCACAAATGTTGAACATATCTTTGAAGTATAGATTAAAGAAGCAGTCTGATCCATAGTTATCATTTATCAATTGCAGGGAACACTTCGATTGATGTGAACCTTTAAAGTGCGACCATTTCTAAAAAATTATTCGTAAATTCATTTTATAGAGAAGGTTTAGACGCCATTAAATTTACATTAAAATTTCCCTGTTTTCAGAATTTTCCATATATTATTGATTACAATATGGTTTGCTATTATTTTGAATTAAAACTAAAATTACACTGTGCACTGTAATAATGAAATGTAACGATGATTTTAGCTAAATAAAATTATTTATTTTAGACACTTTTTAACCGCCGAGCGCTGCCGAGCTCGCACTGACAGCCTATGGCAATTCGCCAATTTCTCAGAATTTTTCCAAAACTAACAGAATTTTATAAATATTCGGGCCAAATTCATGCCATTGATCACTTTCAAAATCTCCATGATATCTCAACAGATCAGAATGAGGAAACATGAATGGATGTATGTTTCTTATTGCGATCTCATTTTTATTGTAAATCGCTGGGCCAATTCCAATTTCTGGAGACATTTTCGGAAATGTGTTAATAAAAATAGCGTTACGCGCAGTACAACAGAATAAATGCAATGTATAACGCATGTAATGAATAACTACAAAGAAACTGAATTTAGTGAGACTTCGTTAAAAATATCCGCGGTTTGCTCCTATAAATGAGCGAATTATCGAGCACAGCAACACTCAACCCACCAACGCCACCGCCAGAACACAACTGCCACTGCCTCGGCCTCAGGACCTGCCGTCACGCACAAACACACGCACGCACGCACGGCAGGCAGCCTACGGGAAATATATGGGGTAATACATGGAATAGTATACGGGAAAATACGGCAAATTTGAGATTAATATACGACAGAATAAGGGATTAATATGCGGAGAATACAGGAAATGTTTTTCGACGTGAATATGGTGGAATGCGGAGGAAAATGTATGGGGAAAATGGTGGAATAATATTCGCATGAAATTCGAGAGAATAAGATACGGGGATAATATGAGGGAGTATAATACGATGAATACATGAGAAAATCTACGAAAATGCGTCAGCATTTTATATGTACACAGTAAAATTTGCAGAAATTCTTGGTGTTCGCTTAAATAGTTCGTAACTCAGTGCCTTGCCACGACATTAGTAATGTCTCACGCAGAGCAAATATTGTTATCCAATTAGCCGTTGGATTCTTGGTTATTTGTATGTACTTTAGATCATTGTCTCTTCAATGTAGAATGATTTCTATGTACTTCTTCAATCTCAACTATTTTATTCGAGTACAAAAACGCGAATGGAATCGATTCTCTATAGTAAAGAAACTAAAACTGATATTACGCATACCTGATACTTGAATGTTGATACCAAATTCCGTAGACTTTGTGGGCCTGCAGCCGTGACGTGGTTGGTCAGTTTGAAGTGGGGACAAACGATGGAATCGTTGAGCCGCGACAGGTCGATGATGAGGCGTTTTGACCCGTCTTTCTTGGGTACCAGAAAGATTCGCGACTGGTAGCACCGCTGCCTTGGGACCTGGTAGACGAGAGGCGGGTGGAGCGGGCTTGGCCGCGTTATTGTCGCCGGAGGATTTAGGCTGTTGTCTCCTGAAGGGGAGACGGTTGCCTCGGCCGCCTCTGTTGCTTCTGCTGGTGGCAGAGTATTTCAATCGTGAATTTCCAGTAGTAACATGAAAATTCTTTATATTTCGAATGAGATTTTGTGCCCCTTTCTCCTTTCTCTTTTGATGGAAGGACTGTTTACATTTTTATTAGGAAATTGATTTGCTTCTCCTGTCAGGAAAGGAGAGTTTTGCTTACTTGATCAGTTTAAAATGATTATTATTTCCCATACCGGGAAGACCGGCGTTTTAAGTACTTGCTCATATGAAAAATTTTTTACTTATTCATTCGGGAGAGAAGAATTTCGCTGCCTCGATCATAGGAGAAACGTTTCACGTCATCGCTATGAGGAGAAACGTTTCACGTCATCGAAACTGAGGGGAATAATTGATTGAACTTGTGTGGAAAATTCTCCTACATAACTATTATGTATATTTCAATTAATTACATTTAATTGTTGGCTTTTATTTTAATAAAAAAATTATTGTGTCTATGATGCTCGCTTGATGCGCCTGATGCTCGCTTGGTGCGCCTGATGCTCGCTTGGTGCGCCTGATGCTCGCTTGGTGCTCTTGATTCACCCAGAAAAATTAATGGGTCATATTGTGCAAATATTAACTCACTTTCTCACCCACCGCTGGAGAACAGAGCGGACTTTGCGCCGATACGCTTGATTAGGATAAACTACACAAAGTTATAAAGTTGATTGATATTTGAAACAAAGTCACGCTCGTTTCTTCGAGTGTTTTCTTGAAGTCCTTCTATACTGAAATTCATTTTCTAGAAAATGAACTTATTTATTAAATAAATTAATTTACCTGTGCTATATTCATTATTTCGATTTATTTAATTGCAATAATACTGTATTTTAGAGGGGACCGTGAGTTTGATGAGCCGAACACTTGATTTTTTATTTAAAACCAATATTCCCAGTAAATCAAGTAAGGTTTTCAGTTCATAGTTTCTAAATGGCCCTGTGGACGAAACCGCAACCAAAATTTTTTACTATAGATTAGTAGGACAATGAAATACGTTGGTTTTATAATTAATATAGTGTAGTAAATAGTATAGCATAGTATAGTCTTGATTATATGTTATTATACAGTATTATATAGTATTGTAGCCGCAGTCAGCTGACCCAATAAATATTCAACTTGTAAGAAAATAATAAATTTGGCTTTTTTTCGTTTGTCTTCAAATTGTGTAGCATAAAATACAGACGAAACGTGAACTGCTGAACAAACATTCTTGCAATTTTTTCCAATGAGGATTGCAGTTTCATTTGAATAGTGTTGAAGGAACTGCGTCAATAACTGCGTATATTAAGCGGTAGATTTATTGGCGTGCTTACGAAACACAAGATTTCAATCGAATATATCTATTGAATTCAATTACCCGCTCATAGTTAGTTGTGTTTCTTGCATTTGTATAACTTATTACTTCATGGGTCGTCATAGGTTAAAACAAACGGAAGATTTATTTTTCTTCGTTCATATCTTGAGAGTTTTCCATGAACACGGACAAAAGAAATTTGCCCCCAAGTCGTATCTCTGTTGTAAAAAGTTACAAAGTATCATCAAGCAACCAAATCTATTATTTTATTTTGATTGTGACTACTTTCTGCATCCTCATGATGCTTATGTAAATTACTCGTAACAGCTGAAATTACGCGAAGACGATAGATGGGCAACTCAGTTATTTTTCACTGAAATCATCTACACCCATATCAAAACAAAGATAAACAGGGATAAAATTCTGGGCGGTTTAGCCGAGTCACTTAAATCCATTGCCTTTGTGTAGGGTAAAATGGACTTATAGGGAGGAAATGTTTGGGAATATAATATGGTGACAGACTATCAGCAAGAAATGTAACTACGTTTACTAGGCTTTTGCATAACATATAAGGTTTAAGTACTTTTAAAACGAACCCTTGAATTGTTTTTGACATTTATAATTTCTGAATGAGTTGTATATCATCTTGTGTTATGTGGGTTACAGTGGATAAAATATATTAACTCACCTCCACCTAGCTTTAGTGACTTTTGAATAATGAAACCATATTTTTCACAAGATTTTTATTATGATCGCTCCATCGACCTAATTTGAAAATTCAAGAATTGCTTTTACATACAGAGCCACGAAAAAAGTGTAATATCGCATTAATCAATACTCCATACACATCCTGGGTCATAACTTTGCGATTTATTTTGAATTCTGTCGATCAAAATCGAAGAAAACAATAATTTGAAAGAGAATATACAAATCCATGTATGAATTTGGGATAGCGAAAAAATCGCAAAGTCTTCAAATTTCTGAAGTTATTTCCCCTAATGTAGGGTAAATATGTGTTTTCCGGAATATTTTGACGTTCTTTCGATGCAACTTTGCATCAGTTGGTATATGAACAACATGGCAGCTAGTAGTGTTTGTGTACGTTTAGTTGATTAGAATTTATTCATCATTATGAACTAGGAGAAACAATAGCAATCTTAGAAAAAATGTGACAGCAGCTTTGAGTATAATAAATTCTTGCGTAGTAAGTGAGAGTAGAAAGAAAACATTTTTGTTGTTTAGTCGCTGACTCAGATGCAAAAACTGAAGCTGTTGTATTTTGATCGTGACAGAAAAGACAACTCAGTGACTTCCAACTTGTGCCATCAGCTGACTGCTGAGCCTCTAATGTTTATTTCGTGTTGTGAAGGGACCTCTCTCATCTGTTTGCATGATATGTGAACATGGACGAGAGGTAAGAAGAGGTTTAAGTTGTGCAAACTGTTGCCTCACTAATTTATAATTTCTCTGATTTGTTTGAAATATTGACAACGGCCTGACAAAATTTCAGAAGCCTTACAAAAAATGTGAAGTTGGAAAAATTTGCTTATGCATATTCAATTTACATTTTATTTCATTAATTTCTCACGGATATTCTGTTTTTTCCTTGTCAAACTCAAACTGCCTACTTCAAAGCAATATAGAGAAATTCCTGACTCTGTATTCCTTAAATTTTGCAGCTCTAATCTCCTGACCTATAATAGCAGTAGATTTGGAATCTGAGTCCTGAACATTATTAACAGTGAGTTAAAAGATAGGTAATTCATCTAAAAGAATCTTGTCCCTCCATAAATGGTGTGAAACTGTGAAAACATTAGACTTGGATTTGAAAGTAGATGCTCCTAGCCTCCTGCTTTGTAGCTAACTAGGGTAAACGCGGTATATTCCGACATCATAGGTAATTCCGTCACTTCTCTAGTTTTTCCTTTATATTAAGCTTTGTTTTAGTTCCATGCGTTCATTGATGGTTGAAATGGTGACGTCATACATTTGCGTGTCGAAATACTGCAAAAACACTATGTCTTGGCCATCTAGTGGGAAAATATTGAGATCCAAAGAGAGACAATACATGCCACCTGGTGAGATCATCGAAAAATGTGTCAAATTTGACAGTTGACCTTGCTCTACCAAATAGTGAATAACTGTTTTTATAGGAAGAATATTATGGTTTGAGACTTTTAAATACGTCTGTGAATATATTAGGAATCCTTTAAGTAAACTTGTATTTGCTGATTTCAAGTCGTAAATAAATTAATAGATGATTAAGTTGAGTATATAATGGATTTAGACCCATCAAAACTAATTCCGACACAACTTGAATTGGACACACTCAGATTGTTCCAAGCTTTGTACAAAAATTGAAATTTGCTTAATTAAAAGCCTAATAGCTGTTAATTAAAACGTAATTAAGTAGTGTTCAATATTTGTTAGTGTTCTAATTCAAAGCCGTGTTGTATCCCAATACAGCTCACACAGCGAACGGAATTCAAATACGTTGATGTCGGCATTACGTATCAGTTAAATTTGAAGCGCTGTCGCAATACGACTCACCATGTGTCGAATATTGCCACACACAGTGACGGAATATAGGGATTTGGTAGGTTTCCATTCTAAAGGCTTTTTAATAAATATGGCAACATTTTGTGACGTTTCATCGTTGCTGACGCTTACCGTAGTGAAGTGTTTTGAGAGTCACGTGAAGGCAACAGAACTTACGTAACACGTACGTTTTTTTTTATAGTTTTTCATTTCTCGATGCGTCCTTAATGTGTCGGAATATACCGCGTTTACCCTATGACACAAAGAAGTTTCTGTACTCTAATTGCTTTTGAGTCTCCAACTTCATTATCTTATTTGAATGTCCAATCGCCCAATGTGAATTTTTTTTATAGCATTTAATCTGGCATCAGTGCTTCAGTGGTGTGTAATGCTGCAACTCAATTTGGAATATCAGGCAGAAGTCTCCTAAAATAGCTGGTAAAAAAGATTGTTTCATGGGTGATTTTTAAAGAGGATTTTTTATTTTAAATATTCCTATTTTATACTAAAGAAATTTGCCATCTCACAGGTGGCTTCTAAGGCCCATAGTGGAATTCTAGGATGAGAGGTCATGGTGGCAGTCCGCTGCTGTGTGGCAGTCTAAACGCATTGCAATGCCCTGTGCCCCTGGGTCATTTGCAAGCTGCAATGTTCTAAGCACAACAGTCCAATCCCATAGTCTCATTGCAACTCCCTCTAGAAATATGTGGAGTTTCAAAATTGATATAGATAAATAAGTAAAGATTTGAGCTGGGAAATTCAATAGGGTACTTATGTTAGTTTCAAAATGATATCAATGATGTAAAAAATGACAATGACTTACTTTCATGATCATTGGTTGTTCAGCCAGTCAGCCATGATGATCCATGGTGCAATTCTATAGGTTATTTAAAAGAACCTGGTCTTATGACATTTTGAACCGATCACGCTTCTTTACGGACCGAGCGCTGCACCGCGTAACACACCTTCCCTGGCAAAAGCTTATTTACTTCTGAAGAAAGGGGTGGTTTCACTGTCAGCTCAGCTGATAGCTGCACTGGGTGTGGGCAGGCCTTATTTGAATTTGAATGCATGCATCGATTTGAAATCCTATACACATAGTATACCAGTCCTAAGGAGCCTAAATTTTTAATATGTATATAAAAAATGTACGTTTCTGCATGGATTATAAGGCTGTTAACATTAACAAACTTTGAATTATCTCTGATGCATGAAATACTTGCTTAAACTATTTTATTTTCAATATAAGTGACTGGATGCAAACATTGGTTCGCAAGAACCAAGATAGCCCCCAACAACAGTAATTTCAATTCAAATCAATTGACATTAATTTCTAAATTCAAATTTATTTAGCCAGTATTTCTTGCATCAGAGATACTTTTAAGTATTTCAATGTTCCACGTAATCAAAATCCACGCAGAAATGTAAACTTTTAATAGGCTTTAGGCTAAAATTTACGCTCCTAGTCCAAAGAACTGAAACCAATTTCAAATCAAAAATGACCAATGAATCACGCTTTCTGGCAGCTTCTGTCACAGCTGATTGCAGTTGCAGTGCATTTTTACTAAGGGATAGCATAAGTTGCCAATATGTATTTAATGTACCGTCAACCGGTTTTAACCGGACAGTTTTGAGCATTTTTTGTTAATAACTTCTTACCATGAAACATTTCATAAAAAAGTTTAGGCTCATTTTATAGCTCTTTGCGAGGGCTATCGAATGGCATCTTCAAAAGAATTCCATTATATTTCCATACCCTCAACTGGGGCTACTCGGGACAATTTTGAACGTTTTTCATTCATAACTTCTTACCATGAAACATTTCATAAACAAGTTTAGGCTCATTTCAAAGCTCTTTGCAAGGGCTATCACATGGCTTCTCCAAAAAATTTCATATGCAATTTGTAAGGTGTCAGAAGCAAAAAAAGAGTGTCCCGAGTAGCCCCATCCAACGGGGCTACTCAGGACACTTGCAATAAAACTTAATTTTAAAATATTTGAAGCATGCAGAGTGTACTCATCCATTACTAACAGTAGGTACTCTGAAGTCCTCCTCTTTCATTGTAGATGATGTAGAGGTAGAATAAATGACATTTTCTGCAATTTTTACTCATTTTTCCTTTATTGATATGATATTACCATATACATTGATTACCGTATTATTGATGCGATATTACCGCATTATTGATGCAATATTACCGTATCCATGAACATGCCATTGAGCATTTACAGCAACCTTGTCCACTGCAAGCTTCATATCAGCAGCCTTATAGCATTTTTTCCGTATCTGTNTTTTTCCTGTATCTGTAAGCTTACAGGACAGCTTGTAATTTCACACCATTTTAATTGGGTTAAGTGAATTTACTATGAAAAAAAAATTGTGAAAAACATACCTGAAATAGAAAGGAATGTTGAATGAAAGCTAGTAAATGTAGTATTTTTGAACTTCCTTTATACTACACAGATAGGAAAAATGTTGACGTTTATGCACTATATTTAGTTTTGCAATATTCCAATTAGTTTTGCTACTAAAACAGTTTTACGCTATGTCGGAGGACTGTCCCGAGTTATCCCACCCGTCCCGAGTAGCCCCGGTTGACGGTAGTTTGGCTTCTACAACATTTCTACAAAATGTTGGAGGACTGTCCCTCATTACCTCGCCCATCCCTTATTACCCTGTTTGACTGTATATACCGTATTACAATATCACAATCGAAAATTTTATTCGCAAGTCACAATTGCCCTGTGCCCACAATGCAAGACTGCTTCTTTATTGATGCCTTTTTAGCACATTTTCTCATTTATTGAAAAAATGCCCTAATGTACTCGTCATGTCCTTCTGTCTCTCTGACCGTCCGTCTCTCCATGACTTCACATTTTCGTCGACAAGAAAATGCGCTCTCTGTCACTCACTGCAGTGAGTACTGAGTTATATTTTTTAGCTGGCAGTGATGTCACACATGCACACATGAATGACATGATGCATCGGCTGTGATGTCACACAGTACAACATCTTACAGCACCACAAATAAATGAATTTGAATAAGTAGTAATAGAAAGTATGTTGCTGGAACACTTTAAGAGACTGTGCCTAATCAGGATATAATATTATTATCTTATTAGTCTAACATAGGTACTAAACAATAAAGTAGTTCATTTGCTCGCATCTGCTGGTGCTGCCATCTGTATGTGGGCACTGCCATCTTTGTTTTGAAATTGAAAGCCCTAGTGTGACGGTGGTTTCAAGTCCTTTGGAATCTAAAATATAAAAAAATGTAAGTTTCTGCATGCATTTTAATGCTGTTAACATTGAGAAACATCAAAGTATCTCTCATGCAAGAAATACTGGCTAAATAAATTTTAATTTAGAAATGAATATTACTTTAAAACTGAGTGATCCAAGCAATCAAACTTGGAAGGAACCCTAGGTTTTGAAGCAAGTTGTGTTTATCAAAATTGGAATTTTTTTAATGAAGTACCGGTACCATCAACCGGGGCTACTCGGGACAGGCGGGGTAACTCGGGACAGTCCTCCAACATGGCGTAAAACTGTTTTAGTAGCGAAACTAATTGGAATATTTAAAACTAAATATAGTGGCATAAATGTCAAAATTTTTCCTATCTATGCGGTACCTATAAAGGAAGTTCAAAAATACTACATTTACTAGCTTTGAAAAATTCCTGAAAAAAATGGTGAAAAACAATATTTTGAAGAGTTACTTCTGCTAAGGTCTGTAGTAAAAAACATATTTGCCGTATTAAAAAATTTTGCTTAGGAAAAAGTGGCAGACAAGTACTGTCAACCGGGGCTACTTGGGACAAGCGGGGCTACTCGGGACAGGCCTCCGACACGGTGTAAAACTGTTGTAGTAGCGAAACTAATTGGAATATTGCAAAACTAAAAACAGTGGCGTAAACGTCAACATTTTTCCTATCTATGTAGTAGTATAAAGGAAGTTGAAAAATATTACATTTACTTGCCTTGAAAAATTCCTGAAAAAATGGTGAAAAACTATATTTTGTAAAGTTACAACTGCTAAGGTATGTAGCAAAAAAAATATTCGCCGTATTAAAAAATTTTACTTACGTAAAAGTAGCACCATGTGTCGGCTTGAAAACGTAATTGACAGAATTTGCCTATCTCATTCCAAAAAAAAAAAAAAATGGCAGCCATTTCCTCGCGGCGGGGCTACTCGGGACACCCCCCCAGGGCTATTCGGGACACCCCCAAAAACGCATTTACGGTAGAACCTCAGTTAGCAAAGGCTCCAATTACGAAAAAATTGATTAAAAACAAAGAATATTGATCACATTTTCCTTGCTCAGCGAAAAAATTTCACTTATCAAAAAATTAGTGCATCATCAGTCATCACAAAATTGTGCATAGCATGTCATGTATAGAATTGTGCACCAAGCATCATAGAATGAAAAGTAATTGACCTAAACTATGATTTATTTGTCCAAAAAATACTGTTGGGGGTCAGCCCCTCTAGAGGTTGATGGTCCGGCCGGTATAGGACCAGCACATGAAACCAAGCAGAACACACTCAGGGAAACAAACGGAGGAAGAACCAAGCAAACATGTATTAAATATAATCAGTGGTACATGAAGGTGAAAGGTGAAAAATTAGTTGGTTAGTAATGAGACAGCCCAGGGCTATGAGTGATGTGGTGAACCTAGCATGAGAAAATAAACAGCCAGCAGCCCAAACTGGTTTGAACAACAAAGAACAAACAATGATACATGATAAATAAGCTAAACTGGGCCAGAATAATGATCTGTAGCATAAATCAAATCAAGAATAATGAAACCAAGGAATCAAGGGCTCAAAATGGGCCATTGGTCAGGCCTGGTCCATCAAGGGGCGTCCGGGCCAAAGAAACAAGATGACGGTGGTCTTACTTGTGAGTATCAGTGGGGTAGACTCAACTGGCTGGTTAGGGCAGCTCTGACACGAGTTGCTAGACAGGACTTAAAGGGCATCCACGCTGGCCTCTAGTGTCAGCTTGAGTAGCTGAAGAGCAGCCCAAGACTCGACTGCAATGTGGCTCAGTGAGCCCAAAGCTTGCCTGTCACTCGTCCAGAACTGGCATCAAACTAGCTCAGAACTTGCCGGAATGTGCTCCAAATTGGCCCAGAATATGCCCCACTTTGGCTGCTCTGCAAAAGTGCAGGAACAACAACACATAAAACCTATCCAACAAAACACTTGAAACACATACATACACTTGAAACGCATAAATACACATTAGCTACCTACTACTAAACTCTAGAACAATTTAAAGGGATGATTGATTGATTGACAAACATTTACTGATATCATTCAATAATTAAAATTTATGACTGAGATGCGTGGCGAGAGTGTTCCCTTGACTTACCTATTTAAGAGCCAGGATAATCTTAGTAACTAGGTCAGAGACAGGACAGCAAGGAAGTCTTCATGGCCAGAAAGCAGGCTCATGTACAGTAGGCAGTATGAGTGGTTGGCAAGTCAGTGTAAGCACCAGATAAGCAGGAACACAGAAAATTGACTTGCTTCAACAATGCTTATTCACATGCATTAATATCACTTTAACTTGCAGTCACTTTTTTAGTATTAAAGCACTGGGGACAAAAAGAGAGGATTAATTGAAAACACTTAATAAATCATTCATTTGCCTAAATGCAGCCCCTAACAATACGTTGGTTGTCACTGAAACATTCCTTTCTGTTTCAGGTATGTTTTTCACAATCTTTTTTATAGTAAATTCACTTATCCCAATTAAAATGGTGTGAAATTACAAGCCGTCCTGTAAGCTTACAGATACAGAAAAAATGCTATAAGGCTGCTGATATGAAGCTTGCAGTGGACAAGGTTGCTGTAAATGCTCAATGGCATGTTCATGGATACGGTAATATTGCATCAAAAATACGGTAATATTGCATCACTAATACGGTAATCAATGTACCGTATATGGTAATATATCAATAAAGAAAAACGAGTAAAAATCACAGAAAATGTCATTTATTCTACCTCTACATCATCTACAATGAAAGAGGAGGACTTCAGAGTGCTGTTAGTAATAGATGAGTACACTCTGCATGCTTCAAATATTTTAAAATGAAGTTTTATTCCAAGTGTCCCGAGTAGCCCCGTTCGACGGGGCTACGCAGCACACTTTTTTTTCTTCTGGCACCTTACGAATAGCATATGGAATTTTTTTGAAAATGTCATTCGATAGCCCTCACAAAGAGCTATAAAATGAGTCTAAACTTGTTTATGAAATGTTTCATGGTAAGAAGTTATTAACAAAAAACGCTCAAACCGTCCCGAGTAGCCCCGGTTGACAGTAATTCTATAAAATTTCAATGCAGAACTTCAATTTCTAATAATTATTTACCGTCAAACGGGTTAAGAAGGGACGGTTTTAAGCATTTTTTCTCAAAAACTTCTTATCATGAAATATTTCATAAACAAGTTTAGGCTCATTTTATAGCTCTTTGCGAGGGCTATTAAATGGCATCTTGAAAAAAACTCTATATGCTATTTGTAAGGTGCCAAACGCAAAATAAAAGCATCCCAAATTACCCCTGGGAACAGGGTAAACCAGGACACTTGAAGTAAAACCTAATTTTAAAATGTTTGAAGCATGCAGAGTGTACTCATCTATTACTAACATTAATCTGAAGTCCTCCTCTTCCTTTGTAGATGATATACATGTAGAATAAATGACATTTTCTGTGGTTTTTACTTGTTTTTCATTTATTAATATGGTATTACCATATCCATACATTACTGTATTACTATTGATGTGATATTACTGAATCCATGAATATGCCATTGAGCATTTACAATGACCTTGTCCACTGCAAGCTTCATATCAGCAGCCATGTAGCTCTTTTCTTTATCTGTAAGCTTACAGGATGGCTTGTAATTTCACACAAATTTAATTGGGTCATGTGAATTCACTATAACAAAATAATATGCGTTTAAAAATTACTTTTTAAAGACAACACTTCCAAAGAATGCAGTGTCTCCAATCTTACAAATGTACAATGAATTTCTCATTTAATTTTCAAATTAAAAAATTAGTTTTTCAATTTTTTTTAATATTGGAAATTTTTTTTTTTAATTTATAAAATCTTTTATTTTGACATTTGATTCATGCATTGTTTCCAACTTTACACAAGTGGGCAAAATTTCAGATCGATTGGATAAGTAGAAGTGTATTAAATTTCGATTACAAGATTTGTAGCAGACAGACAGACAGACAGACAGACAAACAAGAAGTGAAGTTAAAGAGAAGTGTTGTAAAAAGATCATAAAAGCATACCTAAAACAGAAAAGAATATTTTAGTGACAAATAATCTTGGAAAAATGAATCATAGTTTTGGTTAACTACTTTTCATTTTATGTTGCCTGGTGCACAATTCTATCTATGACATTCTCTGCACAATTTTGTAATGACTGATGATGCATTAATTTTTCGTTGAGTGATTTTTTTTGCTAAAGACGTTAGCAGAGGGACATTTTCCAAAATCTCACTTTTCACACGTTTTCAAGGATTTTGTAGAGTTATTAAATGTATGATATCTTGACTTACTTTATGCTACATAGAAGTGAAAATGTTGAAATTTATGCCAGTTTTTTTAGTTTTGCAATATTTTGATTAGTTTAGCTGCTACAACACTTCTACGAAATGTGGGATGACTGTCCCGATTTACCCCGCCCTTTCCTTATTACACCGTTTGATGGTATTCATATATTTATGAGAAGGGTAGGTATTTCTAAAAGTGTTTATTTTTATAAATGTTGTGTTGACTATGTCAGTCAACAGCAAGTTGTTGTTTACTGGCTTTTTCTTTATTATGTATCTATATTTTCTTCATTTTTTCAGTTATTTATTATTATGTGCAGCTTGTTACGTGAGGTGGTGGTAACCCGTAACGATGATCGCAGCTATGGCCTTACTGTGTCAGGCGAAAGCCCCGTCGTGGTCCAGGATGTCAAAGATGGTTAGTATTGTTATTTTCAATACTCAATGAATGCCTCTAATTGATGTATATATACTCTACTGGTATATACGCATTTTATTTTGGCGCATGGTGCAGTATGTTGAGGAATGTCAGCCTTCTAAATTTCAGCACTTGATTTGAACAATTTTTAGCACTGGTATGTCTTGTGATACTAATAGTCTTATAGTAAATGTATAGAATATACATCAGTAATATTTACTGCATTAGTAGGCTATCTCATGGCACTTCAAGAGCCATGAACACAATTTTTTGAAGGCAAAAATTTTGCAGTAGATTTTTCTATTCATGAATGTCAAAATGTCTGAATTAGCCCATCAACAGTTTTACAGCACCTCTAGGTAATTTGGTGAATATATGTCTTTACTTTGGCATGATATTTCTCAAGTATATCATGATTCAAGGTGGCTTGAATTCTGCATAATATGGCACATTCAATGTAGCTTAAGATCAGGATATTGCCTTAGAAAAAAACAAAATTATCCTTAGAAATTATTAGAGGATCTTATATAGTGCATAATTGTTATATTATAACCAGCAAGATTCCACTACTTATATCATGCCATGCCAAGTGAATTGAATTTTGATTTGAGTACATTTTTATTAAATTTAATTTATTACAATTAAATTCAAGTTTAATTTGAGTTCACTTAAATTTAATTTTGATTTGAGTATAATCAAATTTAATTTGTATACGAGTACAATTAAAGTTTATTTCTATTTGAGTACGCTCAAATTTAATTTTTATTTGAGTACCCTATGGTTAAATTTAATTTTAACTGAATATAATTAAATTTTAAAGTTTTATCTAAGTATGATTAAATTAAATTTTGCAGGAGGCCCGGCTTGCCTAGCTGGGGTGCAGGTTGGTGACTGCATCATGAAGGTGAATGGCACGCCCGTGTCAAAGTTCAACCACAAGGAGGTTGTGCAGATCATCAAGTGTGAGTACAAGTGCCTAACTTTCCTCCCTGAAACTGGGTAACTACTGTAACATTGGTTTTTATTACAAGTGCCTAACTTTCCTCTTTGAAGCTGGGTAACTACTGTAACATTGGTTTTTATTACCTACTTAATCTTCCAGCAATAGATGTTGAAATACTAAGAAAAGTTCAATTATTACTAATATAAATTAGTATTAATAGCTTCTATTGAATGCTGGCAATACAAATGCTGTGGCTTGGATTACCCCAACTTGGTCCATTGCCAAGGTTACTTGGATCATTTTGACATTTAAGAAAAGAAAATTTTACACTCAAAAAGTTCTTTGCTTATAAAAATTGTGTTGATGGCTCCTGAAGTACCATGAGATAAGCTACTAATACAATAAAGATATATAGGTATTTATGCATTTACTATAAGACTATTTGTATCACGAAAAGATTGCTGCTAAAAATGGCCCAAGTCTTACGGTACCATCTCACTTTATCTAGTGCTGTCTTTGTAGAGGCAGATATCACATATATGTGTCAAACGTTATGGATTATATGTTATCTTATGCATAATGTATATTTTCTGTTATGAGTTAATGTTGTGTGGGCAGCTTCACATTCAGTTCGTCTGACGGTGTGTGCCGGGGCGAGTTTGCCTGCAGCTGACACGTCGCCTGAGAGCAGCTCGTCGCTATCGTCTGCGTCTGTGCTGCTGCGTCACCACAACAAGGAGAAGCAGCACAAGATTACTGCTCCTCTGCCTGTCAATGTGAGTATTTACATCATTAATAGTATCATTAGTCTGCTTAAATTACAAGTTCAATATGAATTTAAAATCTAAGAAAACATCACTCTAATTCACAGTATCTTCTGAATATATCTTGGTGTAAAATTTACGATATTTTGGTGAAACACCCAGGAAATTAGGAATTCTTGATGTGGTGAATGTTAATGATGCATATGCTTTTTAGGGCTTTCAACATTTTTGATAGTAACATTTCAGAACTCTATTATTTGAATTTTGCGTTAGTTGATAGATTTTTAAATTCTTGAGTCATTGTTAGTTCTGGGACCATGAGTTTAAACACTTGTATTTGAAAATAATCTTATTAACTGCTAGGCTGTCATATTTTAAAGATTTTAGCTGATAAATTAAAGCTATTTTGTCTTACCAACTTTTAGTTGCTGAAATTTAACTTATTTCATCTGTAATAGAACCAGCTAAATAAGAACCGCCAGTATTATTAGTACGTAGTTAACATTTTATTTAATATTGTCTTTATTAAAGTTATTTAATTTGTAACAGAACCAGCTGGATGTGAACCACCAGTATTAATAGTAGTGAACCTTTAATTTAATATAGTCAGTATTAAAGATATTTAATTTACAACAGAACCAGCTGCAGAACCAGCTGGATGTGAACCGCCAGTATTATTAGTAGTGAACCTTTAATTTAATATAGTCAGTATTAAAGATATTTAATTTACAACAGAACCAGCTGCAGAACCAGCTGGATGTGAACCGCCACAAGATGCTCAGCAAGATGCTGGACACGCAACTCAAGACCAGGGAGAACATCCTTCTTGAGCTTGAGAAGAAGCCCCCTAAAGTATATCTTCTTATTTGATTATATAATTTACATAAACCTTCCCAATATTACTACCTAATTTAGATTAGAGATAAAGCCATCACTAAAATGAATTTTCATCCAAGCATGTTTTAACAGTTCACACTAGAATATGACTTTGCTTACTTCTTTCAGTCGTGATTCATAAATCATAATTTTTTACCTGAGATCTTTTACATTTATCCTGAGATTGTGTACGTTTATCCTGTGAGATTTTACGTTAAACCTGAGATCTTTTACATTTACCCTGAGATATTTTTATGTTTACTCTAAAATCTTTTACATTATCCTGAAGTATTTTATAAATACCCTGAGATCTTTTACGTTTACCTTGAAAGCTTTTACATTTACCCTGAAATCTTATGTTTACCTGAAATCTTTTATGTTTACCCTGAAATCTTTTATGTTTACCCTGAGATAGTTTATGTTTACTCTGAAATCTTTTACGTTAACCCAGTGATCTTTTACGTTTACTCTGTGATATTTTACATTCACCCTGAGATCTTTTACATTTACTCTGAAATCTTTTATGTTTACCCTGAAATCTTCAACATTTGCCTTGAGATCTTTTACGTTTAAATACCCTGAGATCTTGTGCGTTTACCCTGAGATCTTCTATGTTTACCCTGAGAAATTTTATGTTTACCCTGAAAAATTTTACGTTTACCCTGAGATATATGGAATAAACTGGCTTTCTGTTTTCAGAATTTGGCCAAGTCTCTCGAGAAGGAGCTGGAAACCATCAACTCTCTTGTGGAGACGATACAAACTAAGCTCAGAGCCACTGAGACTGAGAATCCTCTCTCACAGGTACGTTCTGGAAAAAAATTAATCTTAAATATGTAATTTTTTCTCCGAGAATCCCTTATCCCGGACATGTCGTAGTAAGAAAGCTGTTCTCGAATCTCATGAATTTTTTCAGAGAATCCCTTATCCCAGGTATGTTTTAGAAAAAATTTTGTAATAATGTCACTTGTTTGCTTTAATCGCAAATTCACTAAAAACTTAAAAGCAAAGAAAACTCCACAAAAATTCATAGTATCTTTAAAGAAAACGTTTCGGAGTCCAGCTCCATCGTCACTAGTTTATGAATATAGTTGTGCACGATGTGCATCTGCGTACGTCGGGATGACGTCTCGCAATCTTTATTCTAGGGTCGCAGAACATAAGGGCAGAAGTTGTAGAACTGGTAACTTACTGTCACGCCCACCTCATTCGGCTGTGCGGGCTCACGCCGAGCAGTGCGATGTTCCAGTGTCTGACAGTGACTTCAAAGTTTTACCTTCCAGTTCCGGTGTTTCTGATTTGCGCATTTTAGAATCATTGTACATTTTTAAACAGAGGCCTAGTTTGAATTTAGCTTTTAGCTCTTACCCGCTTGAAATTGTAAATAGATAGGTTTTACAGCTTAGGTTTTTTGTTGCAATCATGACTGTACTAATTACTGATTTATCTGTGTTCTAGAATTTTCGAACTGACGATGGAGCTGGACTCCGAAACGTTTTCTTTAAAGATACTATGAATTTTTGTGGAGTTTTCTTTGCTTTTAAGTTTTTAGAAAAAATTTTTATCTCAAATTTCTGATTTTTTCCCAGTGAATCCTCTGTCCTGTTTTAGTTTATAGAAAAATCTCAAATCTCTCTCTTTTTTCTCCGAGAATCCTCTGTTTCAAGTTTGTTCTAGAGAAAAGATAGTCTAAATTTTGATTATTTTCTCAGATTATCCTCTGCCCCAAGTTTATTGAGAAAATACAAATTTCTGATCTTTTTTCTCTGGATGATACATGTAATAATTACGTTATACAAAATTTGTGTCCGAATGTCCGTCATTATTCTGTCCCAGGTTTGGTGTAAAAAAACATAAATGTATGATTTTTTCCTCATCACGATACTTGAAATGCTGATCTGATAAAAAAAAAAAACTGTTGCTATCTCGTACGAACTGTACGAAGTATGCGTTCCCATCATTACCATTTGAAGTATTGTGTAGTATCATATTTAGATGAAATACATACAATTGCTTAGGAAATATTAAACAGTTGAAGTCATGGCATATTCATTTGCAATTTTTGTCCAAGAACAACCACTCAAAACTGTCGCTCGAGTCTTTATATACCGTAGTGACATTATTTTTAGGATACCTACATCATGGAATAATTCACAATAAAGGGTTATGATATTAGATTCTAATTAACGGAATTTCAATGGTTTCAAAGATTTAAGTTAACTCCATAATATTCCAATCCAATTTCCATCGCACGGATTGCTCTTCAAAAATACAAACTCTGGCTTTTTCCACTAAACTTGCGCTTCCTATTAAGCGTTTTCTTCTTGTATGATACTCTCACAAAATTAGCTTTAACAATTAAAAAGCACTCTCTGGTTAAAAAATGTGAACATGAGTTTCATGGTAGAAATCTAATTCATTATAGTTATCAATTTTGGCTGACGCAAAAACACTGTTTATTGGGACTAGAAAATTTGGCGATTATGCTATACTGTATAGCAAGGGTGAGCTACAGACGAACTCTAAATTACAGATATGTAAATACCAGTTAATATGACACGTCTTGCATTAGTGGTTAGAAATAAAGAAAAGTTCTTTGTCATTCATGATAAATTAACCTGAGATCTTACGCAGCATTGAAAATATTTGCGCAGTAAATGTTAGGTACGGTATTGAGTTGATTACGATCTCCGTAGTTTTTGTGCGTTGATATCTGGATGTCACTATTTGAGGATCACTTTATATCACTTTAAGGTAAAACTATTCAAAATATTTCTTGAAAGTTGATTTAAAAAATTATGGTAAGATATTTTATATGTAAATTCTACGCGTATTTTTTTCAAGTTTGCTGTTTTCACTTTGCTCTGAAATTTTTCAAAAATGAACTTACCGTTCATTGTTAACAGAGGTTATATCTTATTATTTCTGTAAAAATTACACACATATAAATATAGATCTCAAGGGTTCCAATGGATATGAGTAGTTACATGACCGAGCGCATGGCGCCATTTTCCATAAACAGCTTAAATCATAGGTTACCAACCATTTACCCCAAATCTTACCCAACAAAATTACCAATTACCTTCAATATTATTACGAACAATTACCCCCGAATCTGCATAAACAGCTTAACAGGGTACTGATCATGAATCTTGCTCAACAAAATTAACCAATTACTCCCGAATCATGAGTTTACCCCGATTGAGCATTCTTTAACCGAGAATAACCTAGAGCGGCTACCTGAAAAATACTTCTGTGGAATATATAACTGATTTAAATTTTTGAAATACTTTCCAGAACTGGGATGCTCATCTTTATTGATCAACACAAAACTATAAGGTACTTTATACGTTTCATTACACAGTTCTTGAAACTCTGCAAAGGGCATATCACAAGCAATGTAATCACTATGAATATTCTTCATATCGATGAAGGGT